CAACCCTCCAGTGTCCAGAATCCATTCAGAGGCAGAGGCTTTGGGAAAACATCACACAGCTTTCTGGTAACAACTACTACAGAGAGGTAGTAGGCTTGCTTATTTCCTTTGGAGTCTCCCCCTTTCTCTGCTTTTCTATGTATTCCACTGAAATCTTGCTCTGTGGCTTTCAGGGAGGGGGTTCTTGATCCCTAGAAAGGGAATGATGATAAGATGTTGGTTCAGTTCCTGGAGGATTCCATGAGTTTAAGACTCTAGCTGCCCCCTCACTGGAACTGCTCTGATATGTGTTTGAGGGTCAAAGGCGACATCTGGCCTCTGGTTCTGGCTTAGTGACTATCTGTTAGGCGAAACTCTCTCCAAAAGCTACATATCTTAGTATTAGTCATGTGAAGGTGTATCCTTCAGTGTGCTATGTTCATGGATTAACAGCCCTGCACCACTATGAAATCCAGACACCTTCCCCTCCTCAAGGGGAAACTCTGCAACCAAGATTCCTCCCTCAATCTCCCTCCCACAACCTCACCCTTCCCAACCATTGCTGTCTGTCTGTGGATATTGCATACAAATGGAAAAGTATGTTGCCTGGTGTGGTGGTTTGAAAGAAAATGACCCCCAAAGGGAGTGGTATTATTAGGAGGTATGGCTTTGTTAGAGTAGGTATGGTCTTAGAGGAAGTATACCACTATGAGGTCTTTGAGGTCTCATATATGCTCAAGATACCTCTGTCTGTCTCAGACTACTTCCTGTTACCTTTGAATCAAGATGTAGATTCTCGAGTACCATGTCTGCCTGCATAACACCATACCCCCAGCCAATGCTCCCCAACATGATGATAATGGACTAAATCTTTGAAACTGTATGCTGCCACCACAATTAAATGTTTTCCTTTATAAAAATTGTCATGGTCATGCTATCTCTTCACAGCGATAGAAATCCTGACTAAGACAGAAGTTGATATCAGGGACTGGGGTATTGCTGTGATAGGCCTGACCATGCTTTTGTTTGAAGGAATATGGACCGTGGGATTGTAGATTAGAAAAGCAGTTGAATGATTTAAGTGTTGCTTAATGAGCCATACTAGTAGGAGCATGGAAGAGAATGGTGCTGAGTGTGATTCAAACTGTGGGATCCTGGATCAAGAGGTTTCAAAGGAGAAGAATTTTAGTATGTTACCTATAAATCATTCCTGTGATATTTTGGTGAAGAATATGGCTGCCTTTTGCCCTTGTCTGAAAGTTTGCCTGAGGCTAAAGTGAAGAGTTTTGTATTAATTCCATTGGCAGAGGAAATCTCAAAACAGGCTAGTATAGACTCTGTTGTGTGGTTTTGAGTGTTAACGCTAATGAAGATTTATAGTGAAAAGGAGAAAGCTGAGCAAAGACAAATACATGAGGAGAAAAGGAGTGCCAGAAAGTGGAATGGAGCTGAGTTCTCAGTTCAAGGAGTTAAATAGATTAAGAATAAAGGGGGTGATGACCTCAGGGCAATGTCCCATCCAGTTAAGTTTCCAGTGTGTGAAAAGGAATTAAAGAGCTGGTTGCTGGTGCACACTTTTAATCCCAGCACTCCAGAGGCAGAGGCTGGCAGATCTCTGAGTTTGAGGCCAGTCTGGTCTACAGAACAAGTTCCAGAAAAGCCAAGCTTAGACAGTGAAGGTAACCATCGAAAAAAGAAAGCTGGTGAAAATAGAATTGAAAGATCTGAGTTCAAGGCCAGCCTGGTCTACAGATCCAGTTTCAGGACAGCCAAGCTTTGGGCATGAAGGAAACTATTGAAAACAAAGTTGGTGAAGATGTAATTGAATAAGGGAGCTACGTTCCAGCCCCAGTAAGCAACAGAACTTGGCAACTTCAGCCACATGATTCTGGAGTTAAGAATAAAGGAAATGGGTTATGAAATTTGCCTCCACAACTAAGGAAAGCTGCTGAGGCCAGGCATGTCTGTGTGTGTGTGTGGGGGGTGCCCAAATGGGGGCCTAGGGAGGCCATTGTGTGAAGTTGTGAAGTTAAAGCCTGGATTGCCTTGGAGACCCCAAGATATTGGAGATCCAGAGCCAAGGGTTACCTGCCAAGGAGAGCTACTAACAGAGAGTGGAACCATCCCAAGAGAAAGAAGTGTGTTGCAGTCAACAAAGCTGAAAGGAGTTGGGAGATCTAAAGACTGCTTCAATGGCAGACATGATGATGCAGTTTGGAGCTTGCCCAGCTGGTTTTCAGTCTTGCTTTGGTCCAGTAAATTTCCAGTATGCTCCCTTCCCTATGTTTTGGAGCAGTGATGTATATCATTTACCACTATATGTTAGAAGTATGTGATCTGCGTTTTTATTTTAATTTTACAAGTGAAATTTTGAACTTGAGACTTTTAAATAAATTTGGGACTGTTATAGACTATGGGAACATTTGAAGTTGGACTGAATGCAGTTTTACATTATGATATGGCTACAACCCTTTGGGGGATAGGCAGTGGAATGTGGTGGTTTAAAAGAAAAAGGTTCCCAAAAGAAGTGGCACAATTAGGAGGTGTAGCCTTGGAAGAAGTGTGTCACTGTGATGGCAGGTTTTGAGGTCTCATATATGCTCAAGATACCTCCAAGTGTCTCAGACTACTTCCTGTGCCGTTGGATCAAGGTGTTGAATTCTTCAGCACCATGTCTTCCCGAATGCTGCCATAACCCCAGTTGTCATATTCCCTGCCTTGATGATAATGGACTAAACCTTTAAAATCGTAAGCTGCCACCACAAGTGGCATGTTGGGGTCGGTGGTAGGAATAGTGAGATTCATGTTTGCATTTTTCATGTGTATTGCTGTTAAGTTAGTTCTCTGAGGTGTGTGGCAAGAAAAGAGCTGCTGGGTCATGTTGTAATTGTAAGAAAAAAATCCAAGTTCTCTCAGAGCTGTTTGGTAAAGACCCTTGTTGCTTAGGTTTAACCTTTGTTGGCTAAAGCAGAGGAATGTCAAAGGAGGGGTCTAATGTCTTGTACAGGAGCCTTAGATAACTACACACAACCCTTCAGGATACAGCATCCTCTCCCTAGCAGAATACCATTCCTCAAGAGAGTCTAGGGACCACCATTCTGCCACTCTGTGTGCTGCTTCTGTTGTGTTGTGTCTACACACACACACACACACACACACACACACACACACACACATTGCAACATGAAGCCTTGGGTCCTGTCCCTACATCTCCAAGGAAGGTCTATCTAGTCACAGAGCTACAAGAGCATACCATAAAACCCCTGCTTGGGCCTCTGTTTCTCCATTGCTTAGAATAGCTGTTCCAGGGACCAAGAAGGAAGGTACCAGCCTGTGTCCACTTCCTTGGTAGTAAGTGGATCTGGTAAAGAGAGAACTTGGCAGCTCTCCTCCTTGAAAGGGGACTAGGTGAGTTCTGTGGTCAAACCTCCAGGTTCAGGTATCAAGACACCCAGAGTGTTCCTCTTCCAATAAGTGGTCTCTCCTGGCCCTATGAGCTGCTTACACAGACAGTAACTTCTTCTCTGTGCCTTTGGCCACTCCCACTTCCTTCCATTCCTCCTCCATCCCCATCCTCTCTCCCCTTTCACACACAACCCCATCTCCTGTCCATGCAGTGCTTGAGGTCTTTCTAGTAAGGACACTGTGTATCCTGGTGACCTATGTGCCCTTAGGGAGACAGCCAGGCCAAATCCTCTTAGGCAGATCAGATTATGACCTGGGTCATCTTGCATCACACATGCCCAGGTCATGCTGGCATTGTACACATCCAGGCAGCCTGGGCTCTGACACCCCAGTGAACAAGGACTCCCTGGAGGGGTCATGTTATCTGGTATCATTTATCTGCCTGCCTGGGTTTCAGGTTCCCACCAAGAGCTAGAGTTTTGCATTGCACTCATTTACAGCCATGGAGAGAACTGGCCCAGAGAGGGGCCTGTCCCATAGCTCTGAGTCATGAACCCTCTGTGTACCAATGTCCTGTTGGGCAGGGGTGTGCAGAGCCAGGTGGTACCTATCTGCTGAGGATCAGCCAGCTACAAATGTCCTGGAATTAGGTCTCTGAATAAACAGGTGCCTGAGTAGACAGTTGTCATGGCTGAGGGGTTTGTAGTGTTTTAAATAACATTATAAATAACAAGATATTGTTTGGTTAACACAGGAAGTCTAAGCACACAAGCCATAGGAAAAGGAATCTTTTTAGGTACCAGTCAGTTGATTCTGAAAAACAAAAAAGTAAAGAAATGAGACAACTCAGATAGGTCACACCTCACTATGAAGTAATCTTGCTGAGTGACCTGGCTCCCAGGTATAAGGACCTGTCAGTAAGGGTTCCTTTGATGGGATAAATATCATGACCAAAAGCAAATTGTGGGGTGGGTTATTTCATCTTCGAGGTAGTAGTCCATCAGTGAGGGAAGTCATGGCAAGAACTTAGGGAAAGGACCTAGAAGCAGACACTGAAACAGAGGCCATGGAGGAATACTGCTCACTGGCTTGCTCCTCATGGCTTGCTCAGCCTGCTTTCTTATAACACCTAGGGCTATCTGCCAGGGGTGAACTGGGCCCCATCATATCAATCATTCATCAAGATATACCCTACAGGTTTGCCTACAGGCAATCTGATGGAGACATTTTCTCAGTTGAGTTTCTTCTTCCCAGGTAACTCTAGTTTGTGGCAAATTGATAAAACAAAACAAACAACAACAGCAAAAACACCATCTAGCCAGGACAGGATCCTTGCAGCTCAGTCACTGAGGACACCCCTTAGGACCCTTCCCACTCATGACATGCAGCCTGTGTTGGAGCTTCTTACGGGTCAAGCTTACACAGACTGAAGTGCACACACAGTGCATGGAGAAAGGCAGACACAGTTCTGCCAGAGGCGGCCGAGTTCCTATGGTGGCTGAGAACTGCTCCCGCCTTTCTGGCTGCTCCTATTCCAAGTGTCAGGGCTGGGAGAGGGGACTTCTTGCTCAGGCACATGGCCTGGCCCTCCATGACCTCTCATCTCCCTTTTCCAGCCGTCAGGAATGACAGGAACAAGAAGAAGAAGGAGCCTTCAAAGCAGGAATGCACAGAGAGTTATGAGATGACAGCAGAGCTAGATGACCTCACAGAGAAGATCCGCAAAGCCCACCAAGAAACCTTCCCCTCACTCTGCCAGCTGGGCAAATACACCACGGTAAGAGGCGCCTGCCCAGGATGCCAGGGATGTGGGCACAGGCTCTTGTGCACCTACATGGTTCCCATACAGTTTCCTGTGCTTGGCAAGAATGCTCACCCAGTCCAGCCCTGGGCCTGCCTGGCAGCCAGGCAGGACACCTGGTGGCTCTCCTCCACGTGCAGCATTAGGACAGGGGCTATGGCAGCTCTTCATCTCTGGGATCCAATTGTGTGAGGGGCTACATGCTGAGCGCTGGCAGCACAAAATAATTGCATTTGTGTCTCCTCTTGGGAATTATGGTCTGCTCAAGCCAGAAATTTTTTACATAGGTTGTGGCAGACATCTGACCTGGAGGGCATCTGGGATCCATCTTTTAAATATCAATCCAGTTGTAGATTCCAGGCAGGATTATGGAGCCATCATTCTCCGGGTCATGGTCTGGATTCTAGGAGGGTATAACTCAGGAAAGCCTGGAAGGGTACAGGACAGGGTGATATGGGCTCCATGAATAGGTGGTCCCATGTGTTCCACTGTTCAGTGAGAAGTAGCTTTCACTAAGGTTACAAATGAAGAAAGGGGCAGAGAGAGGGATAAGAGTTTGTGGGAATCTTCGGTCAGAGGATGCTCCAGATGGCTCATGGGACTTTGACTTTTCCAAGGAAGGTTAGCATGTATTTTATTCAGTATTATGTACACTCCAAGTTTTAGGCACACTCTGGGCACTCAGGAGATACTTGAGGAATGAATCAATACATACAACTACACTGCCATTCTGACCTCTTTCCAAGATTCATATTGTTGCCTATATTCCTGGCTAGTAAACGTGCTTAAGGGTTCCCCATATCTGGTCTGGTAAAAAGGCATGCTGGAAAAATAATAGCATGGAAATCCTTAGGATAAAAAGAAACAATGATTATGCCCTGCCAGGAAGGAGCAGGGACAGTGAGGAGAGGAGCTTTGAAGTCACACTTGAGGAGTACATGGTGTCCTATGCTTGGATGTTAGTGCCTATCAGTAAATGGCAGAGGTGGCTATGGAAGCCCAGAGGGCTCTGAACAACTCGGTGCTGGGACTTGCCAGGTGGACACCCAGGGAGCCCAAGGCTCCTATGGGAGCAGTGGCTGCAGTGATACCAAGCAACGGGTCCCCTGGTCAACCAGAGAATTTTGCATGTGTGGAAGCTGAGAAGGATGGAGAGTGACACTTTCTGAGCTCATGGGTCTCCGAGGCATCTGGCAATCCTGAGCACCACAGGTTGCAGTCCCTGGGCATGGCTAGAATCTTTTCACGAGTTTCTGGGACACTGAAGTAGCTCTACTCAAACCACACTGAAAAGCCACAGCCCCCAAAAGGCCATTCTGTGGAGGAAATAGTTATTTTGGCTCATAGTTTCAGAGGATGTGCCATGGTAGAGAAGTGCAGGAGTACTTTCCCTCATGGCAGGGGAGGTGGAGAGAGTGTGGGAGTACTTGCACTCATGGCAGGGGGAGGTGGAAAAAGTGCAGGGGTACTTCTTCTCATGGCAGGGGGAGGTGGAGAGAGTGTGGGGTTATTTCCACTCATGGCACAGAATAAGGTGGGTTGAAGTGACCAAGAAGCAAAAGTTACAGCAGCAAACAGTGGCTGGATATGACCTTCAAAGTTTAGCCACCAGTGACCCTGACCCTGTTCCAGCTAGTCCTTGTCAATGACGGTTCCACGGTCTCCAGAAGCAGCAGCATCTGCCTGGGAGCAAGTACTCAGACATGAACGTATGGGGAACATTTCAAATTTACACCACCATTGAGCCCACCTGGCTCCTGGCCACCAGCAGTCCCAAGTGGGGGACCATTTCAATGGAATAGGAGGAGGAAAAGAAGCAGAAGTTAATCAGAGGCCAGCCCCTCCCTGCCAGGCAGCAGGACAGCCTTCAGGATAGTGTACCAGTCACTCAGTGCTCTGAGCTGCCTCCAGCTGCTCCTTTCTTCTTGCCATCTCTGCACAGATCTGGCTTTGTTTCCAGTGTAAAGGACCTCAAATCCTTTCTGGAAGTAGGTGGGAACACACATAAATAACAGCAGCCACAGCACATCCTCTGCATGCTCCCAGTTCCGAACTCAGCATTTGTTCAAAGCTTTTTATAGGGAGCCAGTTGCTTCAAAGGCAAGAAACTTCCTGCCCCTTTCCTGGGGTGGCACACATGTCAGGCGCCTGTGGCATAAGTGGGCAGGGAAGAAGCAGACAGCCACCTCTGCAGATCTTTCACTGTGGCTTTTATTTCTCAAGTTATAGTTAGTCAATTGGAAATGCATTGGGAGGTCTGGGGAGAAGCAAGACTGGATGAAGGAAGGGCACAAATACACACCCACCATCCTCTTCTCCAGACCTGAGCAGGAAGCCCACCACCAGGTTCCAAGCTGTGTGATGCTGCTAAGGTGGCACTTACATCACCCTTTGAGCCTGGACTCATCTCTATAGTGGTTATTTTGGTACTATAGGCTTCACATGTAGCCAGATGGTTCTGTAAGTCTTACACAGTTTCTGGCAGAAAAGGTATGCAGAGTAGAGGGTTGTCTCCTGGGTCCTGTGAGTGTCTCGATGTCATTTACAGCCATATGCCTGGATTCTAGAAAAGTAAGGTGGTGATTGTGACCCTAGTTTCCTAGCAGCACAGGCACAGGGCACTTTTCTATGTGCTGCTGTTCACTCTGCTAGTGGGGATTGGTGGGACATAAATTGTCCTGGCAGAGGTTTGCTACCTTGAACCATGAAGATTCAAGGTACTTTAATGCTCAGACAGAATCATGTATATAATGATTCTGATACAGACAGAACAGACTCTGGGAGACAAGCTTTACAACAGCAGGTGTGTGAGCAATTTCAGGCACCTGCAGGCAAGGGCTTGCTTTTTCTTAAGAGAAATCACATGTGTGGCCAGGAAAGAAAAACCTAGAACTCAGAGAGGCTGACTCTTAGGGGAGATGTACCCAGGTTTGGGTAAGATGCTTTGGGGGATCATGAGACCAGAGTTCTGACCCCCCTGTTACCTCAAAGCTCTGTTACCTTGACATGACTCTCTAAGTCACAGTTCCCTGTACTACACACACCTGCCTGCCATGTTCAAGCCAAATGTATTCAGTTCTTACCATGTTGGTCTCATGTAGCTACCACCGAAAAGTTTCACTTACTGGGTAACTTGAAGCTACATTTTCTTTGCCTCCCATGGCAGGGGAGTGGAAGTCCACACTCAGTGTGTGAGCAGGGCCATTGCCTGTGACAGTCCCAGGCATGCCTCCTACAGCTTCTGCCTTTGGTGGCTGTCTTTACCTTTTCTTGCTTCCTCCTTCCAGCTTCCCACAAGCACCATCTCCTTTAGCTTTCTTAGAGCTTATCTTTGTTCTCCCACTGGCATACATGCCTAGCTGTTATGCATCAAAGGACATGGTGTCATGGTATCTAGGGTCCTGTTTATTGACCAGAAAGATTCTGGTCTCATGAATGACATCCTCATAATGGTGGTGCTGATACCTTGTAGCTATCTCATGAGAGCATAGGACCAGGAAGGAAGTCACAAACACAATGCAAAGTTTAAGTGACATTAAGTTCTCACCAGGAAATAAGAGATGAAACACCAAGAAAAGCATGGCTGCCGCAGCCTGTCTGAACGGGTGAGTGCCATCCCCTCTGCTTGCTCAGGGATCCTGTGCAGGCCACTGCCATTTTCTGGGCCATAGCCTCTCTGTCAGCCAAATAGAGCCGTAACTGTCCCTACCTCATGGAGTGTTGTGGAATGGAGAGTAGAACAGATAGAAGGCCCCATGTCTGAGGCAGCCTAAACAAGGAGTGGCTACATTAAGAGCATGTATGTACATGACAGAGAAGTGGAACACAGAAGACAGAGCCACCTCATGAATAGGACTTGGAGAACACCTGCCTCTTGAGATAGGCAAACAACTCCAGGCCTAAGGAGGGCAGCTACTTGGGAGAGGCTCTCAACACTTCCACAGAAGTTAAACTCAATTCTTCTGTGTCTTTTTGTAGCTTACACCCCAAACCCCATCCCTTGAGAGACAGCAAGGATGATTGCCAGACCATGGTTCCCCTGTGAGAACTTGACTGGGAGAGCCAGGGTAGGGGATGGGGCTTGGTGGGAGAGTACTAGCCTGGCATGCACATGGCCCTGGGTTCCATCCACAGCTCCATGAAGGAAGAGAAAACAGAAGAGATTTTTCTCTTCACTCCTTAGCTTAAAAGCCCTCAAATAAACCGCTGACCTGCCTAGGATCTGCCAATCATCTGCCAGCAGGCTTTTAGACACAGCAGATCTTGTCTCTGCCAGTGAGTATTTTTCTGAAAGAGATGCCAGCCAGCAAAGCAACTGAGAGAGTCATCTAGCAGAAAGGCTGTGCCATGGCAGAAGATAGCATTTAACTGGATTGACAGGGCTGGGCTTTTCCCAAGAAGGCCCTGGGGGACTGTGGGCCACAGCATTCTGGGAAACTTACTTTTCCATAGAAGCCCAGGGGACTTCCCAGGCAGGCAGCACATCCTACCCACAGTAAGGGCGGGCTCAGCCCCAGTGTCTATCCCCTTACCCCTCACCTCCTCTTCCTCTTCATCCTCACCTGCTTCTGAGCATCTTTTCCCCAGCCCTGTCAGTGCTCTCTGTAGCTGCTTTCATCACCAACCCCAGCAGGCCACACTCTCCACCTACTGCAGCAGGAAGATAATGTAGGAGCCATTTCAAGCCTCATGCCTATGAATCCAGCAGCCAGGATAATAAAACACGGGGTTATTTTGTGTTTTATTAACTGCCTTTTGCCTTCAGTTTGCATAATCGTGAGCTAGATTGACAGGCCGTTACTGGGTTGCTCACTGTTTTAATAGAAGGAGCCATAGGCCCCCCTCCCACTCCCACTCTTGCATGATGGAGCAGCTCATCCAAAGCTGATGAAGATTTCCTTCACACTGGCTGCATCCAGCAATGTCATTTTTTCCAGATGGATACTCCATTGTAAAGTGATTTCCCACCAAGCTCGCCTCTGCCCCTCTCCTCTGTGGCATATTTCTGTGAAAGGGATAAACTGCCTATTAAATTTAATTACGGCCAGAATGGCCACATGTCTTGATCTTGCACGCACACACTCCTGAGAGTACTGTGTTCCACAAAGATCTTTGAGGAATACACAGAATTAATCTGGAAGATGCATGCTTGTTTCTCTGGGGACACTGTGGAAGCCATCATGGCCACCACCATTCTGAGGCCTCCTTTAGATTCCCATCTTCAAACTCTTCCTCTGGATTCTCACTGATGTTAGAAGCAAAGATGGCTTTACTAACTTCTGTGGACAGATCTGACTGAAACAGGGCACAGAAGTTATTGGTTTGCAATGCTGAATTGCATTTGCAGAGATAGAGAAGTATTTGTCAAGAGAGCCATACACAAGGCCGAGGGAATCTAGTGTCCTTACATGGTTCAGTTTGTCTTGGATTTCCAGAATTCATGAAGATGTCTAGGTTACTTTCAGGAGAAACAGCCCCTTGGTGTCTCTTGTACAGAATGACAGTTGTTCTGTGGTATCTCAGACAAGCAAAGGCTTATGAGACTGTCACTCAACTTTACTGGGCTCTACTAAGTGCTCACTGTGTTGTCTGCCAACCAAAGAGCCAAGGAAGTGAGCCACAGAATAAAATTTGAGAGCCATAATCATCCAGCACTGTAATCACACACAGGATATGAAGGGGGAAGTGCTAGAAGGTGGGCATTTTTAGAGGTGAGAGCCATAATCATCCAGCACTGTAATCACACACAGGATATGAAGGGGGAAGTGCTAGAAGGTGGGCATTCTTCATAGAAGGCTAAGGACACTGATCAAAGACTTGAGAGAGTACCTGATGCAGGGGAAACTGAAAGTACGAAGGCCTGCGCTGGGCCATGGCCAATCATCAGGCAAAGCAAAGAGACCTGAAAGGATAGAGCTGAGAAAGTTGAGAGAGAGATCAGCAGGGGCCAGCTTTTAGCCTTAGAGATGAGGGAGGAAAGGGAGGGGAGAGAGAGAAAGCGAGAGAGAGAGAGAGAGAGAGAGAGAGAGAGAGAGAGTAATCCAAAGGATGTCACCTGGGTAGGAGTGGGACAATGTGACAACGTGTATACATCTGGGACATTTGACTCATGTATGCCACACCTAAGACTGTAGCTCTGAGAACCTGTTAGGCCCCAAGCTCTTAGCTTCGGCATCATTAACTGCACTATGGCACTTTTTGACCTTTGCTTTCTTATGAGACATTTCAATGCAACATGGAAGTTGAACAGTATCAGAAGCCCTTTGGCCACTGCTGACCACCTTCTGTTCCACTGTACTTTTGTAAAGTGCCTCTGGCCACTATAGGCTACCTTCTGGTTCCTCACACCTCTGCCACAGTAGTTAATATTCTGTGTATATGCAGAGCTGCCACCATCCTGCCCTTCAGTGCATCAGTGTGTGTTCTAAGTATGACTAGAAACTGCAGTGTCACCACTGAGTAAGGCAAGCCTCTTGGACACCTGAACTGCTCACTCTATACTTTCTTGTGCTAGTCTCTCCTCCTCATTTGCTTTACATGGAACTCAGAGAAGGTTCACACTTCAGCCAATCAAAGTCCCTTTTTATTTGAGTTAAGCTTCTGGAGTCTAATTTACATGAATTTAATGTAAATTTAATTTACATGAATTTACATGAATTTAATGCTTCATCTTCTCAAAGGATATGCATTGATGCGTTGAAGACCATTGCCAACACTATGGAAAGGTTGCTCCTGCATCTGTGATCACCACCCTATTCATTGTCCCCAGAAGTCACTGCCCCATCCTCCATCGGTGCAGCATTGCCTTCTCTATGATGCCCTGGGATGGCCCAGTCTTGTGCATCTGCCTTCCTCCCTTTAGTACAATGCTTATGGCTGCTACAGATGGGTATCCACCTCCATTGTATTGATGACACCCTGCCATCCACTATATAGAGATTATTGAGCATCAGGACAGTATTGAAGTGTGGTTTGCTCTCCATAGCTGCCCCTGTGCATTGTCTTGGGTGGCTCCTGGGCTTTGTATGTTATCTGGGGCTCATGGTGCCCTTGTGGTACTTAGCATGTTCCTGAGTCTCCTAAGAGTAGATCCAGAGGCTTCATTTGACTCAAATTTGACCTAGGGCAGACTGAAGCTGTTGCCCCTCACAACACTCACATAGCAGTAGTAAGCAGTGATAATCAATGTCTAGAGGCATCGGTTCCTGGCATAGACAACAACAGATCTGTCCCTCCTTCATTAGGAGTAGATGACTACACAGAGCAGCTTACCCTCATTTGCTCGCTGGATGTTTGTGGCTGGTGGAAAAGTCTGTGCAATTTGAAAGCAGGAATCAGAGGAAGCTCACAGAAAGCACTTGTGAGCCTATTTGAGGGAAGCAGCTCATCCCTACCTCCTGGTGTCATATTGTCACTCATTCCTCTTCTCCCTCCCTTTTAGAATTCCAGTGCTGACCATCGGGTCCGACTGGACTTGGGCCTCTGGGACAAATTCAGTGAGCTGGCCACCAAGTGCATTATTAAGATCGTGGAGTTCGCCAAGCGTCTGCCGGGCTTCACCGGCCTGACCATCGCAGACCAGATCACCCTGCTCAAGGCTGCCTGCTTGGACATCTTGGTAGGATTTTTTTCTGAACTCTAGAAGGAAGGAGGGAGTAGGAGAACAGGAGATGGAGGCTACCGGGAGCTTTTGAGACTACTTCCCAGTCTCACTTCCTAAATCTGGAGAGGCCTTCCCTTGTGTTGGAATTTCCCCCGACTGACAAAAATTCAGAGGTCCCTGGAATTTGACAGGGCTTTCCTTGTATGTCCTTCCTTTGTGACAACCCCCAACCCCCACCACACCAGGTGATCATGGGAGTGGTTCCTTATTGGCCTTCAGTGGTGGCTTGCCCCTTGGCTTCTGCATACCTTTTTCCAGACCAGGCCTAGTCATTACAAAGAGCACCTCCCTCCCTCTGTTCATGAGCCCTCCTCACCCTGCCCTGGAGGCCCATGGGACATTTGCAGCCTACGCATAACATAGCTTTGCAAGTGCTCAAGACCACAGGGATTCCCTGGCTCAGCTGAATAGGAGACCTGGCCTAGCCCATGGCATAACTTTGGGAGGCTACCACCTGTGGTCTAGGGAAACTTGTCTTAATGTAGCTACTAAATCAGACATCAGGCAGGTGCAAACTCTTGCTCTCACAGGCCTGGAGGCTGGGAGCCCAGAATCAGCCAGCCAAAGCTCTTGGGCTTTAGGTCACGGGCCCTCCAGCTGCTTCCTCACCGGGTTGAGTTCTGTGGTCCCTTCATATCTAATGAGCACTAATATCTTCTCAGGGCTGCATCCTCATGATCAACCTAGGCTTACTCTCCCCCAGAGGTCTACACCTCATACCCTGGAAGCGGGGCTCTAACACCAAGTACTTCAGTGGTGGGGCTGCAGCGTGTCCATAGCAGTTCTGTGGTCCTTTCTATGCCTGTGAGAATGGGGAATTCCTCAACCATAGCTTCCAGAGCCTCCAGAGGGAAGGCCAGGTTCTATTTTAAAACCATGGGGCTGGAGCTAGGGTAAAGGGATTTTAAAGGCAGACATTGCTTCCATCTGGGGACCACGATGCATACAGCCTTATGACTAAGAGGCAGGGCTTTGCCTCACATAACCATCCTATTGCTCATGACAGTGGACTTTCAGTGAGCCACCCTCAGCCTATGTGAGGAGAAACCCTGGGTAGACACTTCCCTTAGGTGACTTAACCTCTGCTGAGCAACATAGAGTGTCTGCAGGAGGAACACAGAACGCAGAAGCCTGCTTCCTGAAGGTCCTGCTCTGTGAGAATACAGAGGATAAGGCCCTGGGGGAAGGACCTGATGACTGCAAAGAGCTCACCAGGCCTGGAGCATTTAGGGTGAGGTAGAGAAGGCAGGAGTCCTGCAGGATGACTGTGTGCCTAAGTACAGGGTGCAGAGCACAGTGAGGTTGTAAGCCACGACTACAAACACAGGCTTCTAGAATTGTCTGTGCTCCATGGTGGGGTACAAGTGCCCTCACCCCCAACTTGACTTGCTCCTGATCCCTGCCACGCTGATGACTCTGTTCCTGATGCCTGCCTGTTTGATTCAAACTCAAGGAAAGCCCTTTCCTTGAGTTTGAATCAAATTCATTGTTAGCTATGAGGCTGAGTAAATCATGTGGCCTGAGCCTTAGGGCTCTTATCTGTAAACAGGACTTTTCTGAAAGACTGAATGAAGACATGTTATATTAGCTACCTTCCTTGTTGCTACAATCAAATACCTGATAGAAGCAACTTAAGGGTGGTTTATTTGAGCTCATGGTTTCAAGATACAAGCCATGAGGATCTATAGTTTGTGAAAGGGCTGGTCATATTGTATCTGGGGCCAAGATAATGCCAGTTCTCGGTTGACTTCATGCATCTTCCCTTTTTATTCAGTCTGGAATCCCCTAGTCTGCAGGATGGTACTAAAGCATTCAGAGTGCATCTTGCCTGATCAGTTAAGCCCTTCTAAAATACCATCATAGACACGCCCCAAAGTGTGTGTGTTCCCATAGCAATTTAAATCCTGTAAATTGACATGAAGATTAGCCATCACAGTTGGTAAGGATCACCTTACTTATTTTTGGTTGACTAAACTTTTGAAAATAGAATTTTGTTCCTCTTCTTCTCCATAGCACCTGGCTTGATGCCTGAGAGATAAGTCCTCAGGAAATAGATATTTCAATCATTATTTCTCAAAATATGTGTCCCACTTATTATTCCCTGAATAACCCAGCTCTGTTCTTAGACATCTGCCTATGCGTAATGAAAGAAGACACTAACATTCAACAATGGGGCATGTTGCCCATGTGAGGCCCAGGCTCCTCAGGAGTCCCTGCATCTACTGTAGCTTTGGTGGGTGCTATGGGGACAGGCCAGCATAGGTGATCCAGCAAGTGGACATACATATTTTCTTTCTTCCAGATTCTCAGAATTTGCACCAGGTATACCCCAGAGCAAGACACCATGACCTTCTCCGATGGCCTTACTCTGAATCGAACCCAGATGCACAATGCTGGCTTCGGTCCACTGACTGACCTTGTGTTCACCTTTGCCAACCAGCTCCTGCCTTTGGAAATGGATGACACAGAAACAGGCCTTCTAAGTGCCATCTGCTTAATCTGTGGAGGTAGTGACACCCTGGGACCTTCATGAGATCCCACACAGAACAAGTCATAGGACAGCATGCGGGTCCACTGGGGTTCTCCGTGTGCGTTCTTCACTGCATGAAGAAAGGCAGTGGATACAACTCTCATGCCGGGGACAGTTGTACTTTCTCCTGTTGTAAATTAAGTAGTGGTATATGAGCTCCTTCTGCTCTGAAAGATATGCCAAAACACAGTTTGTCCAGTTTCTCTTGTGGGAAACAGGGACATTTGTAAAGGCAGGATCATACTGCTATATGCCTAAGGACATTTTAGTGGTGACCCAAATGACTTGCATGTTATTTCTTAATATTGCTAGAATGATTCAAATCACTGTCTGGGATCCCCTACCATGCTGGTGTATGCCTGGTGGACTGGAGTAAAGTATGGCCCTTCTTTGTAGTGACCCCTGCTGACTAACCAGAAGCCAACATTAGTTTAAAAGTAATGGCTGTAATTAAGGGGTAGGTTTTTCTACCTGGCTTTCATAGCCAGCCTGCCCAATGTGCTTTTTTGTTCAGTTCAATACTGACACCATCTGGTCATGAAGGGAATTCTTGACTCTGAACCAGATCAAGTGGGCATCAAAATATGCTTAACGAAAGAACAACTATCACCGCTTAAAGCAATTGCATTTATTCAGGTTAGTGTGCGACTGAGTCACTAAATAAAGCCACTGTACAGGAGGAATGGGAAAGAAGGGGATGGGCAGTAGTCCTTCAGCCTTGGGTCACTAAAGAGTGAATACTTTCTCCTGCTATCCAGACCGCCAGGACCTTGAGGAACCAACAAAAGTAGACAAGCTCCAAGAACCACTGCTGGAAGCACTAAAGATTTACATTAGAAAACGTCGGCCCAGCAAGCCCCACATGTTTCCAAAGATCTTAATGAAAATCACAGATCTCCGCAGCATCAGCGCTAAAGGTATGTCTTCAAGGACAGAGGGGAGGGCAGAGCTTTGCCAGCTTTGCTTTTTAAAAGCCATGCTTTAATCTTAGGAGTCTCCTGACTGCCTAAGTTGGAACGTCTGCCCCACAGAAATCAAAAGGAGCTAAGAATCATCTGAGCACCCATATGTGCACACGGTTAAAGAGTTCCTCAGGGTTCTTTAAGAAGACTCTTGACATTGTCTCTGGCCTGAGATTAAGAGAAGCAGAAAGCAGATACCACTACCCCGTGATACTAAGAGATTATTCAGTTTTCAAATGGGATGGCTAGTTAGAAGAGCAACTCTTCTAGACAGTGTATTAACTTTTTAAATAATTATTGTTGGGGCTTGTATGCATGCCCTTGGAAGTTAAGAGACAATTATGTGGAGTTCCTTCTCTTTCCATCTCTACATTCATTCTAGGGTACCAAGTCAACTAGCTTGCACAGCCAGCTCTTCGCCCTCTAAGCCATTTTGCCATTTCTTCATAGTGTATTTAATTTTGAGTGTATGCATTTCATACTCAGATTTCTATTACACTTGTCCTGTTTTTCCTTTGCATCCTAATCCCTAGAAACAAATGAGTAAGACTTGGGGGTCACCGTGGCTGCAGCTCTGGTGTAGGCAAGTTAACTACTGTAATTCTGTGTAAAGGAATTCTTGCCTGGTTGAGAGATATAAATAGTCTCACCTCATGATTCTCACTCTATGTGGCAACTCAGGCAATTATACAAATGCCTAGAGCCATCTCACAGCTGAGTGCAGAGGGCTTTTCTATGTAGAGATGACTCAGCAACTATTCCTTGTGCCAGCTATGCTATTAACTGTCATTAGCAGACTCCATACCTGAGGATCTCGGCAAGCCATGACACACATGCTCCATTTCAGAAGGTCGTAAATGCACAAAGTGAACTTGTCCAGTGATAAATTCTAAGTTTATCCCAGCATGGGTTTAAGAGAAACAAAAAAAAGAGACCAATGCTTGAGTGGAGTAATTATGTATGTATGTATGTATGTATGTATGTATGTATGTATGTTTGTAAATAGGGCTGTTAACATCACTCTCCATAGATGCCACTGATCTGAGGACTAATAACCATGAATAGAAATCTCCCAAGTACCATATTAACAGAGTCCATAAAAACCCTAGCCACATGTTTCTGAAGCAGTTTTCCTGTTATTTATAACCAGCTGCATGAAGGGCTGTGGGATCTGTGATGGCATAGAAGCATCCTGTTCTGGACTGGATTGCAGAAAACCACTACACGTTGGGGACTCAAGTCCATCCTTCCATTGTGGAAACCACCCATCCCTTCACCTATATTTTCTGACCTTTCATCAGGAACTTCTCTTTGTAAATTTATGGAGTCTGACTGAAGCACTGCAACTATCTAATCTGCACATTACACATTTCTACAGCTTTTCCTTAAAGTGAAAATGAACCAAACTCAGCCAGCCTCTGGAGTACTGTTAGTACATATTCTGTATTCAAAGGGAGTGTTGGATCAGCCTCCACCTCAAAATCAATCTGATTGGGATCTCAAAGCACACCTGACACTGACATTCTGGTGGCCCACATTCCCACTGTAAATACCTTTATATTTTTACTTCTAATAAACAGGTTCTTTTCACAAAGACCTGTATTTCACAACCCTTTCACACACCCCTGAAGGTGAATGTTGGTTCCTTCATATCTATCCGACCACGTATCTAACAAGTTTTCTATTATCTTTCAAAAAAGGTGCAGAACGTGTAATTACCTTGAAAATGGAAATTCCTGGATCAATGCCACCTCTCATTCAGGAAATGCTGGAGAATTCTGAAGGACATGAACCCTTGACCCCAAGTTCAAGTGGGAACACAGCAGAGCACAGTCCCAGTGTCTCACCCAGCTCAGTGGAGAACAGTGGAGTCAGTCAGTCACCACTGCTGCAGTGAGACACTACCAGCTACTGCAGACATTCCCCAGGACCTTCAGTTCCGAAGTGAAAATGCAAGGAAAACATTTTTACTGCTGCTTAGTTTTTGGACTGAAATATGTTAAACTCCAAAAGGACCAAGAAGTTTTCATATGTATCAATATATATTCCTTACTGTGTAACTTGCCTAGAAATACAAACTTTTCAAATTCTGAAATTCAGCCATTTCATGCCACCAGAAACTAGTTAAGAGCTTCTATTTTCCTCTCTGAACAGTCAAGATGCATGGCAAAGACCCAGTTGAGATGATTTAGCCCTGGTTAAGTTTCTGAAGACTTTGTACATACAGAAGTATGGCTTTGTTCTTTCTATCCTGTACGTTGGTGCTTTCTTTTGTCTTGCAAACTCAATAACCAAGACACCAAGGTTATGGAGCAGACTACTGTACATCACTGTACATCTTGCTTTCATGAATAACAAGGCCTCATGGTAAGGAACCAGGACCTTTGTACAGTACAGGATAAGACTAAAGACGCTCTGGTTTAAGTAATGTGGAAGCTTCTCCTTGCTTTTTGATGCTCAAGCTGCATCCTTTCTTTTGTGTTGCCCAGATAGAATATACCACTTCACTGCACTAGCAGAAGAGAATTCTGTATCAGTGTAACTGCCAGTTCAGTTAATCAAATGTCATTTGTTCAATTGTTAATGTCACTTTAAATTAAAAGTGGTGTATTCCTTAATGACACAACTACCGAATGAAAAAAAGATGCATTTTTACAGTCATGATAGCCTCCAAGGCAAAAACACTGTCCAGTGTTAGTAAGTTTGTTTACCTGTTCACAAGCCATTGGAGAGATATCACAGGATAATCAGCAGGCTAGTCTGCCTGGACTCTAGTAGCCCAGTGTCCTTCCTGACTCACGCCTGATCCTGGGATTTCCCCCAGTCTTGATGCTTGAAGGTATAGGCAAGTGGCCTCTTCTGGCCTTGTTCAATCACTATGACGCAGAGTGACAGCTGTGGTAGAGTGGTTGACAGACTCAAGTGTCAGGTTCTGAGTTCTCATGTAAGCACTAGTGGAATTTTTTGTTTTTGATATATTAGCAAAAGTCTGTGATGTACTTTCACTGGCTCTGTTTGTACATTGAGATGGTTTAACAGTGCTTTCTATGTTCATATACTGTTTACCTTTTTCCATGGAGTCTCCTGGCAAAGAATAAATATATTTATTTTAATTGTGTGTGGGAACTTTTACTATGGTTTCACCTTCAGTAAAGAGTCTGAGAACACAGTTCCATTTTTAATGTTTAAATTTCATTTCAAAAAGCAGGTCTGTAGTCTGCAATCATGACAATTAAAATCTGTGCTAATGCACGGTAATCTATAACAATTCTACAAGCCAATCAGACAACACATGACATTTCAATGAGTAAAAAAGAGCATAAAACTGTATGTGTAAGAACAAAATGTTAAAAGGCCTACCACAATAATAAAAAACCATCAATTACATCATCACATTAAAATAAGCCAGATGTACAAAATTCTGAGACAGAAAAGACAAAGGACAACACAAGATATTTTTGAAAAATGTTCGTGCTCTTTGGGCACTTAATTAAACATTGCAAAATCAACATCTTCTTCTTCATCAGATTCTGCAAAATATTTTACTTCTTTCCTAGCCCGACCAGTCCGTGGCAGAGCAGGTGGTTCAGAAGTGAAGTCTGAGGGAAAGATGTCTACATCTGAATCCTGATCAAAAGATGTTTTCTTCGGTTTCTAGACCCCCCCCCAAAAAATACAAAAGATTAAAAATCCCGAAGTTAAGGAAAGCCTATGGTTAAGAACTAGTTATTCCTTATACTTACACTTATGGTGTATTGCCAATAATCAATCATACTTTAAAAATTAGAATTGGCATGCTAACTTAGGCCTAAAATGAATTATGGATGAAAGAAACAAGATTAAATATAGTAAGTAATTAGCAACTTTGGGCTCTTATGTTATCAAGTTATAGCCTCATCAATGCAGCATCACTATTCTGAAATTTTTTCTTACTCAATAAGTATACACAATGTTAACATCGGAAATTATTCAAGTTGCTCTATTTCTAAGAACATATTCAGAATTCATGCCAGCAGAACAAAGCTATACACAGTATGTAGCATACACTATCACAGTGTTGATAAAATATTTTAAAAGTCACAGAACAGGCAAGAGATAGAGAAGGGAATTGATGGTAAAGAACAAGTTATAAAGCTATAACCATCCATATGTATATTTTTAAGTTTTAATAGGAAGAGAAAATAAGTGTCTTATTTACTCAAAAGAGAAAGGGATTCTAAAGGGTCAGATTAATTAAGACCACTAGGCACAGTCAAACAAACTCAATTTTTAAAAATTAAATTAACCTGTTTATAAGAATATTCTAATATTCAAGTAGCACACAACTACAATAGTTCAATCAATAAAGTAGGAGATTCTATAGTAAGTTGACTTATAGTACTCTCCCATTGGCGAGAAATGAATGTAGAGCTCTCCCTGGCATTCTAACAGGGAGTGACCACATGCAGTGCAGACCCTGAGCCATGTTGAGGTGTACTTGCTTACCTTGCTGGCTGTTTTAGATGGTTTCCTCCCAGGGTTATAATCACCTTCATTTTCTGAGCCTGATGCTTTCCTTTTCTTGGCCCCTCGGCCTTTACCTTAAAAATACATGAAAAGAGTTTTCCTCTCAAAGGTCAACAAAATACAAGACAGATGCCCAAGTCTTATAATTATTTCTACATCCAATAGTGGAGCCTGCAATCCTACCCTCTTGCCTTAAGTGACATTCGTATACTTTGACAGCACCATTTTAATTCCGGAGTACATGTGACTAAAGAGTATTTTAAAAATACACTTAAAACAAGTGAGAAATCCTGAAAATAAGTTTCAGTACTAAGCCCTTATAAAAAGACTAGCATTTTGCTAATATGACTCTTGAAACTAGGAACAAAACTTGTTACAAGAGTGCTTAAGTTACCTGTCACAGCTGATAGACTTACCAAGGCTTCAACACACATTCCTACATTATGACTTCCACAGGCTCTATGATAGTTTTCTTAGCTTTCTTCCTATTCTATTTCTCTGGCCTATAGAATAAGATCCTGCCTCAAATATGCCATACAATGGAAGTGAGAGACAGAGGTGGGAGAAACTCAAGGGAGTTAGTTCATTGTAGCATCTTTTAAGCTTATTTTTAGTATAGCTAGCTAATCTTGTCAATGTTTAAACTGATGAGTAATGTTCTAAACTGCTTTATGTCCTTTAATACTACTTTATTAATAACAAAATCCTTTCCTTATAGCAAGTGTTTAAGGGTTATACAAAGACAGTCCTCACCTTTTGGTGTTGTAGTCTTCTTTGGAATGCCAAATTCAGAATCTGAGTCAGAGTTTACAGTCTCTACAACTTTCTTCTGTTTAGGTGCTCTCTTGGCCTTAGGGGCTGTATCTGAAGGTGGTTTACCTATTAAGCAAACATCCTTTAAGTTGGCCACTGTAATATATTTACCAACAAACCAAGCTGAAGTGAGTTCTGTAACAGTGGACTCTTTTTTATTTATTTATTTTTTTTAATTGCTGACAAGAAGCTGAGTAGCCAAGAAATGGTTTCTCTCTGCTTGGTGCCAATATAAAGGCAAATATCATCCCATGAATGACAAAATGAGTCTTATTCAATTATGCATAATTTTATGTGATTCAATTGAAATATTTTAAGCACGGGGCATTAAAAGGAATTAAACAGTATCTTTTAAATATATATATTCATGACTAAAAAAGTATCTCTGACACACTAATTATAACCACACACTAAGTTCTAGCTTATAAAAAATGATTAGTAGGGAAAAGCATTTTTATGGGGTCCTCAAATAGAACAAATATGAAGCAACTCATTTCCCTCCAAATGTGAAACCTAGTCTTGGCTTTTTTATGTGGGAAGAAACATGAAAATCCTAGAGCAGTAGATGCAAGGCCTCACTTTGCCATAATATGTTTTTAAAACAAGTCTTGTGTTTACTTTTCATCTGTAGTTCCATGTAAACACTAATACTCACTTTTAACTTGTGTAACAAAAATGAGTCTGGAAAGCCAGGGAGTGGTGACACATGCCTTAATCCCACCACTCCGGAGGCAGAGGCAGGTGGGTCTCTGTGAGTTTGAGGCTAGCCTGGTCTACAGAGTAAGTTCCAGGATAGCCAGGGCTACACAGTGAAACCCTGTCTGGAAAAAAACAATGAGTCTGGAAAACAAATGTATTAGATAGACTGAAATGAACTGCAGACTGTGCTTTAAAAACTGAAGTGTTGTTGACTTGATGGAAAAACAGAATTGAAACTCAAGATGAGATACTCAACATAATGCCCCTCACTGGCTAATAGCAGGAAGAACCTCTACATATGGTAGAGGTGGCCAAAGGCTATGGCTTTTACTCCCTCTGTGTCCTCATGACTAAATCTACCTCAGGAATTCAAAGGCAGCTAGCATGAATGCAGATTCATCACAGCAAGGCAATAGGGACTACAGCTTTCTCTCGTAGTGTTTTCAAGCTTGAAGAAGTTATGTGGCACTTTCAAACCCTCAATCAAATTAGGTCAGATATCTAAATATTATAGGATGCCTTTTGCTGCAAAATATTGGAACTACAAAATATAATGTGGACTGTAATATATGTAACTCAGGGTTAATGTATATAATTCTAAGGTGGGAGGGGCATGATATGTCCCTTGAGATACTATCTGTAAATTTTATTTCAGGAAGGAGATAAGGAGATCTTGCTGAAGTCTTTGAAGACAGTTTCCTAGTTCAACTAACACAAGACCTATCTAGCTAATAGAGAAACAGCTAAATAAGTTAGGGTAGTCTTGTCTTTTAGTTAATGTTAAACTAACCCATTAGCTTAATGAAGGAAACAGGGTGACAGATTTCAAGAAGGGATACTGGCCCTACAGTAAAATGTTTTTGATTGCTTAAAAATTTACATGTATATGCACACATGCCTGTTTTTCTTTATGTGCTCCATGTGCATGCAGTGCTCACATGACCAGAAGATGGCATCAGATCCAAGGAACTAGAATTACAAGTGGTTGTGAGTCACCTGATATGGATGCTGGGAACTGAATTCAGGTTGTCTGAAAGAACAGCAAGTGCTCTTAACCCCCAAGCCATCTCCCCAGCCCCAAAAATGTTTTGAAAGGAAACTGTAGAGTCTGTCTCAGTCTGAGTTCTCCAGAAGCAGAACCTGACTAATGTCAGGCTATGGATTCAAGAGTAAATATTTACCCAGTAGGTAATGAAAGAAAGTATAGAATTGAGACAACGAAGAGCAGCTAGTCATGAGTAAGTTATCAAGCCAGTCATTACTCTGAGAACTTAAATAATCTTTTGGGGGAACTTTGGAGAGCCAATACAACAGTCCCAGAGTCAGAATCTGAGAGGCAAGGACACTCACTGATCTACTTCTATACCAGCTTTCCTAAATCACTGGTGCAAGGGAGCTAGGGGAAGGGGGAGAGTTAATAGTCTAGCACAACTGCAAAGTCAAAGTCATCAGATAAAGAAATGCAGACATGGGCCAACTTGTCCTGGAGAAGTGAGAGGAGCCTGTTATGGGCAGCCACCTAGACTGCTAGCTACACATGCTTCTCTAAGCAGCCTTGTCAATCACAGGTCTAGTGCATTCAGATAAAACATGGACTTTAAGATGGTCAGGATTGTTTTTCTGCTATACTCAATACACATGCCTCTATGATGTATATTATAAATTTTCTTTTCTTTTAGGGAACAGTCCATATAATTTAATATCTCAACTAGATGTGACTTCAAAGAGACCAAGGTACATGATTTGCATGTTATATAACATTAATGAATCAACTCAGCATTTCATAAACAATCTAAGACTATGGTTATAGGGAAAAAGCTATAATTCAGAAAATTGTATTGACCAGTGTTCCATGTAAGGAGTGGAAAGAAGCAGAACTAACAGATCGTAAAATCAAGATAAAATGTTTTCTCTTCCCAATATAACAAAGAGCTTTATAGAAAAACTATCTTTTGTTGTAATTACTTATTCTTGAGAATTTCATATTTATACAATGAAACATGATTAGCATCTACTGTATGTGCCTTTTCCAACTTCTCACATATTCACCTCAGCATGTCCCTCATCCAATTTCATTGTTTTATAACCCACCAAG